TCTGAGCTTAAAGGGCCGGGCAGTGCTAATCGCCCCGGGCGGTTCCTCCGGTATCCCTGGGAGCGGTTCCCCCAGTCCCCTGGGAGCTTTAGCTTTAGCTTTAGCTTAGCTTTAGCTTAGCTTTAGCTTAGTTTTGGCTTAGCTTTAGCTTAGCTGCAGCTTAGCATTTGCGTAGCTTTAGCTTAGCGTTAGCTTAGCTTTAGCTTAGCTTCAGCTTAGCGTTAGCTTAGCTTTATATTAACTTTAGCTTAGCGTTAGCTCAGCTGTAGCTTAGCTTTACATTAGCTTTAGCTTAGCTGTAGCTTAGCTTTAGCTTAGCTTTAGTTTAGCTTTAGCTTAGTTTCAGCTTAGCTTCTGCTTAGCTTCAGCTTAGCTTCAGCTTAGCTTCAGTTTAGCATTAGCTTAGCTTTAGCTTAGCTTTAACTTAGCTTTAGCTTAGCTTTACTGTTACTACTAATGCTGCGTTCCCAGGGGCTCCAACTCTTAGGTAGGGTCGCACTGGGATATTTTTCTCCCAGAATGTGAATTAACATTATGCTTTTCCCCACAATGTGAATTCGCATCTTGCCCTGGCCGTCAAGATCACCAAAACTGAAGCGCAGTGTTCCGCATGTCAGATTGGCTAGGCAGATTTCGACACTCATCTCACCGCTTCCGTGTTATCCAAACCTTTTTTTGCGCCCTCAGCGCACGTTGCCTCCGTCGCCTTTCCCGAACCCTCCGCTCCCTTGCTTCGTTTACCCCCAAACCTCGCGCATGGTGCAGGCGGGAGGCTTCAATTGGTCCCCCGCCGGACACAGCAATCGAAAATGCATCGCCCATGCATGGCCCATAAAGCCACCATTGCTGGGACCCTGCGCCCGACCCCACTTTCACCCTCCAAGCTAGTCGCGGCCGCGCTCAGGCGGTTACCGCCCCCGGCCCGGACGCAAGGGTTTCTCCCTGCGCCCAGCCGCCGTCGTCGTCATCACCTCCTGTTCCTCCTCTCCCTCCTCACTTGACAAGTCACTCACAGACGAGGCTCCCCGCCCGATACTTCGTCCATATTCAGGTCTCGGGAACCCCAAAAAGACGACATATGTTGGTTTCCGATGACCCGCTCGGCTTAAAAACATAAGGTGCGGGCCTCATAAGGAGGTGGCTCCCGCCCGAGACTTCCTCAGAAACATCACCAGCGGGCCCCATAGGGAGGGGGCTCCCCCCCGAGACTTCCTCACAACCACAGATGATGAGGCTCCCGCCTGATACTTTACATTCAGGCCTAAGGAGCACAAAAGTGACGACAATTACAAGATCCCGATGACCCGCTCGGATTACCAACGTGAAATGCGGGCCCCATAAGGAGAGGGCCCCCGCCTGAGACCTCCTCACAATTCAATAACAGACGACGCTCCCGCCCAACATTTCCTCCATATTCAGGCCCGAGGAGCCCAGAAATGACGACAGTTACAAATTTCCGATGACCCGCTCGGATTGCCAACATGAAATGCAAGTCCCATAGGGAGGGGGCTCCCGCCCGAGACTTCTCACAATTTGCTCGCAGACGTGACTCCCGCGTGACTTTCCTCCGTGCAGAAGCCGGAGAACCCAAAAGGGACGACAGTTACAAGTTTCCGGTGACCCGCTCGGACTGCCAACATCAATTGTGGGCCCCATAGGGAGGTGGCTCCCGCCCGAGACTTCCCCACATTTCACTCACAGACGAGGCTCCCGTCTGATACTTCCTCCATATTCAGGCGTGAGGAGCCCAAAGGGGACGACAGTTACACGTTTCCGATAACCCGCTCGGATTACCAACCTGAAGCTCGGGCCCCATAGGGAGGGGGTTCCCGCCCGAGACATCCTCACACTTCATTCACAGACGAGGCTCCCCCCTGATACTTCTTCCATATTCAAGCCTGAGAATCACAAAAGTGACGACGGTTACAAGTGTCCGATGACCCGCTCGGATTATCAATATGAAGTACGGGCCCAATAGGGAGGGGGCTCCCGCCAGCGTCCTCACAATTCACTTACAGACGAGGGTCAGGAGAATGTGGTGGTGGTGTGTTCCTGCGCGGGGTGTCCAAAGAAAATAATGTTGCATATTGAGAGAAAGTGCGTGTGTGTGTATGTGTGTGTGTTCGATGTGCGACTGAGTATGATGATGATGATGGCGGTGATGGTGTTGCTAATGATGATGATGATGATCGATGGCCGATGGTGATGGTGATCGATGGTGAGTGATTGAGTATGGTGGAGATGATGGTGGTGGTGATGATGGTGACCGATGATGATGATGATGATGATGATGACCGATGACGGGGTGAATGCGTGAGTGCGGCGGAAAGTGGGAGGGAGGTGAGGTTCCTGTGCGGACGGTGTCCAGAGAAAACAAAAACCTTTGGATGTGGGGAACAAGCACCTGGGCATCCTGGGGCGCCGAAGTCCCCCAAGTTCTGCAAAACAAGCGTTTCGCCAGAGGCATCCTCGAATATTCTGTGCGCAGGACGCGCATTCTGCGAGCGGTCACGCAAAAAGACAACTTCTCTCATTTTCTCCAAATTCTACGGTCTCCAGGCCATGTTATTTACGTTGGATTCTGCGCAAAAAACTCTGCACACAAAAAAAATGAAAAGGAGGACTGCGGACCCGGGTATGTATTGAGGATCCGAAATTGGGAGCACACAGTCCTAGAGCTGGCACGCGCGAGACAATTTTACTTCTGTTTTTATATAGCGGGAATGTGTCACACCTGCGCGAACTCTACCTGGGGACAACATTGACCAACTGCAGTCAAACTATATAATAAGGACGCACGACAAGGATGCACGTGTCTTAAAAGGCCATGTCGACACTTTGCGAGAGGAGCGCGGCCAGAGGATGGGCCGAAAGGGAAATATGCAAGGGCAACCTGGGAAAGTCGCTCGTCCTGAGGACACGGGTTGACTATACAAAAGAAACATGTGCTCGAAGCCCCTTCCGGGAAAAATAGAAGAACCATAGATGTGTATATATCTGTTATATATATATGTGTTTCCCTTTTGTGTGTATATATGTATATATTATATTCATATAAATATATAAGAATATATATATGTATATATATATACTATTCATATATATTTATATATGAATATATATATATATATGAATATATATACACAGAAAAAAATATCCTGGCGAAGGACCCAACCATATGCAGTTGTGAATGCCGCAATTGTGAATGCCATCTTCGCCTGCGCTCCCTATGTGGCCACGGCTTCCCGCCGGAGCCCGACATGCTCAGGGACACGTTCGTGGCCGTCTTCGCGGGCGCCGACGACGACAAGGACGGCGTCCCTCTCACCGAGGAGCAGAAGCAGGAGAAGGCCTTGAGAGCCATGAGGGAGGAGGTGGCGTTGCACGTCGACAAGGCGGAGTACGACGCCCATGCGCGGTTGTTGAAGCAGCGCAACTATGGGGCCACGATCCTCGTGAGGGATGTGCCGCTATGGCCCGGGGCCGCCATGCGAACCCTGCCACTGGCGCCTTCGGTGGAGCTCCAGTGGGGCCACGGTCCTCGTGAGCCGAAATGGCCCGAGGCCGCCATGCGAACCCTGCCACTGGGGCCTTCGGTGGAGCTCCCCATAGGGCCACGATCCTCGTGAGGGGTGTGCCGAAATGGCCCGAGGCCGCCATGCGAACCCTGCCACTGGCGCCTTCGGTGGAGCTCCCTATGGGGCCACGATCCTCGTGAGGGGTGTGCCGAAATGGCCCGAGGCCGCCATGCGAACCCTGCCACTGGCGCCTTCGGTGGAGCTCCCTATGGGGCCACGATCCTCGTGAGGGGTGTGCCGAAATGGCCCGAGGCCGCCATGCGAACCCTGCCACTGGGGGCCTTCGGTGGAGCTCCCTATGGGGCCACAATCCTCGAGAGGGGTGTGCCGAAATGGCCCGAGGCCGCCATGCGAACCCTGCCACTGGCGCCTTCAGTGGAGCTCCCTATGGGGCCACGATCCTCGTGAGGGGTGTGCCGAAATGGCCCGAGGCCGCCATGCGAACCCTGCCTCTGGGGCCTTCGGTGGAGCTCCCTATGTGGCCACGATCCTCGTGAGGGGTGTGCCGAAATGGCCCGAGGCCGCCATGCGAACCCTGCCACTGGCGCCTTCGGTGGAGCTCCCTATGGGGCCACGATCCTCGTGAGGGGTGTGCCGAAATGGCCCGAGGCCGCCATGCGAACCCTGCCACTGGCGCCTTCGGTGGAGCTCCCTATGGGGCCACGATCCTCGTGAGGGGTGTGCCGAAATGGCCCGAGGCCGCCATGCGAACCCTGCCACTGGCGCCTTCGGTGGAGCTCCCTATGGGGCCACGATCCTCGTGAGGGGTGTGCCGAAATGGCCCGAGGCCGCCATGCGAACCCTGCCACTGGCGCCTTCGGTGGAGCTCCCTATGGGCCACGATCCTCGTGAGGGGTGTGCCGAAATGGCCCGAGGCCGCCATGCGAACCCTGCCACTGGCGCCTTCGGTGGAGCTCCCTATGGGGCCACGATCCTCGTGAGGGGTGTGCCGAAATGGCCCGAGGCCGCCATGCGAACCCTGCCACTGGAGCCTTCGGTGGAGCTCCCTATGGGGCCACGATCCTCGTGAGGGGTGTGCCGAAATGGCCCGAGGCCGCCATGCGAACCCTGCCACTGGCGCCTTCGGTGGAGCTCCCTATGGGGCCACGATCTCGTGAGGGGTGTGCCGAAATGGCCCGAGGCCGCCATGCGAACCCTGCCAGTGGGGCCTTCGGTGGAGCTCCCTATGGGGCCACGAAGCGGTGGGTGAAACGCAGGGATGAAGAGGAGGAAGGGGGCAGCGGGAGGAGTGGACGCGGGGCGCTGTCTCTTCAAAACGAGGACCCAACACCACAGGATGGTTGGGAAAAAAACAAAAAAAAAAAAACGCCGTGAGTTCGTTCACGACGCAGGGAGGTCAGGGTGCTCCCTTGCCCTCGCTCCTCCGTCCCCGGAGGACGCTGGGGCGCCGTCCTGGCGTCCTCACACCACCTTCGTGCCGCTGATGCGCGAGAGCGTCTCGACCACCTGTGCCGCCGGCCGGTCCACGCCACAGGCAGGGGCGCGGCGCGTCCTCGTCCCCGCCCGCTCTCCTCTCCGCGCTGCGCCTCCCCTGCCTCGCGAGTCTCGGCGGAGGGCCGGCCGAGGTAACGGCGGCACCCCCCGGAGGAGGAGGAGGAGGAGGAGGAGAAGGAGGAGGAGGAGGAGGAGCGGAGCCCAATCCCCCCCGTTCGTCCGGCCCGAGAAACCCTCGCAGAAGCTCAGAGGAGCAACGCGCCGACGGGCTCCCCACGGCGGCGTCTTAGCTGGAACTCCCGGAAGCTTCTCGTCGCCCCAAGTGGACTTGCTTCGAGAGAGGATGGACCCACGAACCCGGCAAGGGATCTAGAACTGCGAGGCATGGAAACGTGTCCAAGCACCTCGAGTGGGCGATGGGCAGTGGCAATGTGGAAGATATCAATGGTGATGACACTGTGCCAGGGGCGGGGTTGTGCTGCTCAACGCTGTGCCGCGCCGCACAGTGGCGTGCCAAGGAACGCACCACTGAAAGTGCCAGTGTACGTGCCAGGGGACGTGCCAGCGCGCCGCGCGATGTGCCGGGGGGACGCGCCACGGAACGTGCCAGGGGGACGCGCACGGAACGTGCCAACGGACGTGCCATGGGGACGCGCCAAGGGACGTGCCAGGGGACGTGCCAGGGGACGTGCCAGGGGACGCGCCGCGAGACGTGCCCAGGGGGAGGCGCCAGGGAACGTTCCAGGCATCACTGGTGATGCTACGGTGCCAGGGGCTATGTTGTGCTTCTCTGCGCTGTGCCGCGCCACACAGTGACATACCAGGGGCGTGGGCGTGGGCATGGGGACGCGCCACGGGATGTGCCAATGGACGTGCCAGGGGACTGCCGCACTATGTGCCAGGGGATTGCCGCACTATGTGCCAAGGGGACGCGCCACGGAACGTGCCAGCGAAAGCGCCAGGGGACATACCAAGGAACGTGCCAGGGGACGCGCCGCGGAACGTGCTCAGAGGAGGCGCAAGGGAAAGTACTAGGGAACGCGCCCGAAAGTCACCATCCTTTGTGAATAACTATGCGTCCGCGCTTCCAGGGCTGAGACCCATCGTCAATTACACTGCGTCCGCGTTCCCTGGGCCATAAAGCATTCCGCGGAGGTTGCCCAGAAGAGCCCCCCATCTTCAGAGCAGAAAACTAAATTTGTCGGAATTGGAACATAGATTCGGGTGGCGTGTTTCGCCCCCCACGCCGTTTCTTTTTAAATTCGGCGCTGGACCCGAAGGCGAGAATCCTAAAAATTGCTCTGCGTCCGAGCTCCCAGGGCCAGGATCGCACGTGAATTACGCTGCATCCACGCTTCCAGGGCCACGATCCATTGTAAAATATTATGCGTCCGCGCATCCCTCGTAAATTACGCTGCGTCCGACCCCCCGCCAGGGCCACGATCCCTCGTAAATTACACGGCGTCCGCGCTCCCAAGCCACAATCCCTCGTGAATTACTCGGCATCAGCGCTCCCAGCGCGATCCCTTGTAAATCGCGTTGCGTTCCCGCTCCCAGGGACACGATCTTTAGCAAATCAAAATGCGTCCGCGCTTCAATGGCCAAGATCCCTTGCACATTACACCGCGCCCGCGCTCCCAGGGTCACGATCCATTGTCAATATCAGCCAGCGTTGATTCCAAATAGATAGGAGGACAGGAGGTGGACGAGGAGGATGGGAGGATAATGAAAGGAAGACGGGACCAGGACGGAAGGTGGACGTGAGGAGCGAGATCAAGCAAGCGCAAGCAAGCAAGCAGAAGCAACCAAGCGCAAGCGAGCACTAACAAGCAAGCAAGAGCCAGCGATCAAGGGTTAGCAAGCAAGAGCAAGCAAGAGCAAGCAAGCGAGAGCAAGCACACAAGAGCAAGTAAGCAAGTGCCATTGGAAAAAGGGGGGGCACTGGAAAAAGGGGGGGCATTGGAAAAAGGGGGGGTGCTAAAGACCAACTACGTATGATGAGCTAGGACTCCAACAGGGCAATCCTATTCGGAGAATTACATTGCGTCCTCGCTCCCCCGGGCCACGTTCCCTCGTGAATTACACGGCGTCCGCGCTCGCAGGGCCACGATCCGTGCCCCAAGGTTACGACTCTGTGGAAATAATCATGCGTCTGCGCTTCCAGGGCCAGGGACCGTCGTAAATTACACTGAGCGCCCCCGGCAGGACCACAATCCACAGTAAATCACGATGCGTCCGCGCTTCCAGGACAAAACGCGGCGTCCGCGCTCCCAGGGCCACGATTCATTTAAAAAGTGGTGCGATTGCACTTCCAGAACAACTTGGGCATCCTGGCGCGCTCAGGTCCTTCACGTTCTGCAAAATAAGCGTTTCGCTGAGACATCCTCGAGAAACCTGCGGGCAGGACGCGTCGTCCTCGAGCGGGCACGCACAATTCAACATTTGTCAATTGTCTGTTAAATTATAGGGTCCCCAGACTCGATATTACGTAAAGATTATCAGTAGAATGCTCCGCACTTGTTTGTTAAACGAGGGAAAGCGAAATCTGACTCGGTTAGGCATCGAGGCTCCGAGAGAAGGGGCGCACTTTCCTTGAGCGGGCGCGCGCGACACTCGGTTGTTCTACCGGAAATGTAATTTTACATTGATTTACATCAAGCAGAAATCCGCCGGCCCTCTTCAAGCATGGCACCGGGGAAGAGGGCTTACCCACCAAACGAGAACCCTTGGCCCAAGCCCTGTCCAGGGAAAACAGGTCGGGGTGGGCCCAGATAACACATCCCAAATCAGGGCTGGTCCTAAACCTGGTTGAATCCTGGACGCGACGACGCGGCATGTGCGCGGATGCCCCACGCGGGCGCGGGTGGACAGCGCTGCCCCCAGCGAAGGAGGTGGGGTTTTGCGCGGGATCCGTCCTTCCCTCCCCCTTCCTCCATGGCAGCCTCATTCCTCAATTGCTCGTCCCTGTCCTCGTCTGCGCCCACCTCTCCGCTCTCCCACTTCCACTCCCGCAGCTCAACCCCGTACCAGTCCCGCCTCCACCCCTCCACTTTCAGCCCGCCGTTCCCCATCGCAACTACACAATTCCCTCGAGGAAAAGGGAAAAGAAGGAGGAGGAGCAGCAACACACACCCACACACACACGTTCCCTGGGAGCCCAAGGATGTTCCAAAGAATTCCTGAGGACTCCTTAAGGGCGCCCTTGGGATTCACAGGTGTCCCCCAGGAACTCCAAAGGGATTCTAAGGATGTCCTGTGGGTGTCCGAAGGAACCCAAGTGCCCTAGATCAGTGAGACGTCGCAACAATGTCGTGAGGACAGTTCAGGGATGTCCTGAATGATATTGCTACAAGTTGGTTTTGTTCCGCCTGGAAAAAAGGGCTGGATTTGTTTCAGGTGGTTGGATTCCGTCACATAGTCAATTGGACCCCCACCCTCTGCCGACGCTGAGAAGGGTAAAACGTATGGAAAGGAAGATAGAAATGTACGACATGGCAACGTTTCAAAGACACCTGATTGGGCGACGGGCAAATGCAATGATGAGTGTATCGATCTTGATGTTAGCGTGCCGAGGGCTGTGCTGTGCTGCGCCGTGCTGATCTGCGTTGTGGATCGAGTCCTCCTTTGCTTCCGAGTCCTGACCGATCTGATCTGGGTCGTAAGCTCGCGCTGCCTCAGCATATAGTAGCTGCCCTAGAGCTGATTGGCAAGGAGACATGCTAGGAGGACACGCCGTGCAACGTCACAAGGGACGCGCCAGGCGACGTGCAAGGGAACGTGCCATGGGGACGCACCGCAGAGGTGCCAAAGGGACGCGCTACGGAACGTGCCAATGGACGTGCCAAAGGACGTGTCAGGGGACGCGCCGCGCGTCGTGCCAGGGGGACTCGCCACGGAACGCGCCACGGAACGTGCCAGGGAACGTGACAGGTTGCAATGCTGAGTGTATCGATCTTGATGTACCGTGCCGAGGGCTGTGCTGTGCTGCGCCGTGCTGATTTGCGATGTGCCATGCCGCGATTGTAGTCTATAGCGTTGTGGATCGAGTCCTCCTTTGCGTCTGAGTCCTGACCGAACCGATCTGGATCTTAAGCTCGAGCTGCCTGAGCACATAGTAGCTGCCCCAGAGCTAAATGACAGGGGAACATGCCAGGAGGACGCGCCGCGGACCGTCCCAAGGGACGCGCCAGGCGACGTCCCAAGGAACGTGCCATGGGAACGCACTGCCGGACGTGCCGAAGGGACGCGCTACGGAACGTGCCAATGGGCGTGCCACGGGACGCGCTCCCAGGGCCACGATCCCTCGTAAGTTACGCTGCGTCCGCGCTCCCAGGGCCACGATCCCTCGTAAATTACATTGGGGTCGCGCTCCCAGGGTCTGGACCCTTTGTAAATTACGCTGCGTCCGCGCTCCCAGGGCCACGATCCCTGGCAAATCACGCTGCGTCCGAGCCCCCAGGGCCCCGATCCTTCATATTCTACGCTGCGCCCGCGCTCCAAGGGCTACGACCCCTTTCGAAAATTACATTGCGTCCGAGCTCCCAAGGCCCCGACCCCTCGTAAATTACGCTGCGCCCGCGCTCCGAGGGCCACGATCCCTCGCAAATTACGCGTGGTCCGAGCTCCAAGGGCTACGATCCGTCGTAAAGTACGCCGCGTCCGCGCTCCCAGGGCCTCCTGGGGCCTGCTGGGGCACCCAGGCCCTTCAAGTTTTGCCAAACAAGCGTTTCGCTCGAGCCATGCTCGATTTTTGGCGCGGGGGGGCGCACCATCCTCGAGCGGGCACGCAAAAACTCAACATTACTGTCACGCTAAATCTTCGAAAAACAAGCGAATTAATCGAGACATCCTCGAACAGCGGGACGCGGTACGCGCGAGACATCCTCGGAATTCCTGCGCGAGGGGCGCTTTTCCGCGTCGCGGTCGGGGCTCCAGTGTTCGTTTTTTCACTGGTTCTGCCAAACATG